AGTAGAGGTCAAGGAGGCAGGCCCAGGCTCTTCAGAATGCTTGCTCCTGCAGCAAGCAGAAGTGAGGCAGCTGCCTCTCTCCCAACCGTGGAATCCTTTCTACCCCTGCCTCTCCATGATGTGAATAGGAAATAAAGGAATCTTTTATTTTGCATTCATTGGCTTTATAAAACCCTTGCTAATTTTGTAAATGTAAAGAAATAGTACCTTTAGCATAAGCATTTTCTGTGTTTCCACAGAAAATGGATTAGATTTTCCATTAATTATTTTAATGACAAAAGATGTCCATTTTCTTTAAGGAAGCATTCAGAAAAATGGATTTTGCCAGTTAGCCTCTGTCTGCCTAGTGAGACATTTTTTAGTTCCTATTGATTGTAAAAGGAATATTATAGGGCCATTATTATCTGTGTTTGCTCACAGTAAATCTCCTTCTACAGAGGAAGCTAGGATTGAAAGGATAACTGCTACCACATACAGAGTACTCCCTGTCAGACCCTGACCCAGGGGCTTCCATACCTTGTCTCAGTCAGTACCCATGGCAGCCCTCCCAGGGAGGCACTTGTCACCCTCTTTCTACTAATAAGGAAACTGAGGCTACACAGAGTTAAGTAATTTGCTCAAGGTCACACAGGGAGTAAGTGGCAGAGCCAGGATCTCAAACATTTACTGTTTTTTTAATACTAATTTTTAATTTTTGTGGCCATGTGGTAGGTGTGTATATTTATGGGGTGCATGAGGTGTTTGATACAGGCATGCAATGCATAATAACCACATCACGTAAAATGTGGTGTTCATCCCCTCAAGCATTTATCCTTTGTGTTACAAACCATCCAGTTCTACTCTTCCAGTTATTTAAAAATATACAATTAAATTATTTTGACTATAGTTACCCTGTTGTGCTATCAAATACTAGGTGTTATTCATTCTTTCAAGCTATTTTTTTTTTAAACCCATTAACCATCCCCATCTCCTCCCCACCCCCACCACCTTTCCCAGCCTCTGGTAACCCTCCTACTCTCTATGTCTGTGAGTTCAATTGCTTTGATTTTTACATCCAACAAATAAGTGAGAATAAGCAATGTTTGTCTTTCTGTGCCTGGCTTATTTCACTTAACCTAATGATCTCCAATTCCAGCCATGTTGTTGCAAATGACAGGATCCCATTCTTTTTATGGCTGAATATTGCTCCATTATGTATATGTACCACATTTCTCCAGGCATTTACTCTTAATCACTGCATTAATGTTTGGTTGCATAGTGACTGAAAGAGTCAGAATATTTTCTAAAAATTTAAAATAAAAATCAATAAAATTTGGGATACTTAAAACTTACTGAAGAGAATCTATAGTTGTACCTAAATTCGTTATTACTAGTTATAGGCCATACTTGCTTGGGAGCATGACTTATTATAGTTCAAAGATTGGTTTCTTTATGCCGCTGTAGACCAAAGGTATATCAGCCTATTCAGAATAATTAAAGTTATATTTCTGAAGAGTCAGAAGGTGAAGTTTGTTAAAGTTCATGACCTAAGTACAAAGCAGTGTGGATCAGTGCTAAAGGAAGAGGCAGCCAGGAAGCTGGGAGGTAGCTCTTGGCAACAGAGCGAAGACTGTCTGAAGAAGATGTGATGGGAAGAGAGCCAACTGCAGGGGTCAGATTGAGGTGTCAGGTGGCTTCCTGTTGAGGATATATGGCAAAACCCCTGCTAGTTCCCCAAACGGGAGTTTGACCTGGTTTAAAATGGGACAGCAGGGCAGGGAAGTAGTCAGAACTGAGAAGACAATGCTGAGATGGGTGGTGGTTCTGCTTGTTTTGGATCTGGGAGCTCCGTGGGTACTCAGGGCTGGCAGAGGGATTCTAGATCCCAGGAGTTTGTGTGTGTGTATGTGTGTCTGTTTATGTGTCTGTGTGTGTGTCAGGGTTGGAGAGCCTTGGTGTAGGAGCTGTACGTAACAGAGGGGTCTGTTTGCTTTTTTTGGTTGAGAGATTGGATTTCACTACTATATGATGGAACTGAGTCTACTTAATATATTTCATTGCTCTCCTGTGGTTGGCCCGGGCACCAGTGTGGGGATGGCTGCAGGCAGTGGCATGTGGGCAGGGGGCAGCCATCAGGCTGCAGCTGTGAGGTGCCAGAGAAGGCCAAGGCAGACCCTGCCAAAGACAGAGTTGGCTTTGGGTCTCTGCAAAAATCCAGAAAGAATTCTGGTCCTATTTTTGTAGAACTAGGCCAGAAAACACTGAATGAACAAGTATGAGCCTCAGCTGGAATTAGTCAAATGGCTTATTTCTAGTTTCACAACTAGGAGTGTTCTTTGGAAACCCACATTTAGGTAGTGAAAATTGCACTTTCTGGGCAAGACTCCTATAAGGCTAGAAATGACAATGCTTCAAAAGATGACTTTATTATATTTTTATCAGTGGACAAACTTCCTAAAAAAATTCACACACTCATATCTGCATATAAACCAACATCATAAAAGTACTAATATGACAATCATGCAGACTGAATCATGCAGTCTTTGCAAATAACAAGCTGACTGAAAAATATCCAAATATAATTTTAATTTTTGAACTTTTTCTTCTAATTCGAAAATTAGCTCACACCTGTAATCCCAGCACTTTGGGAGGCTGAGGCAGGTGGATCGCTTGAGGCCAGGAGTTCAACACCAGCCTGGCCAACATGGTGAAACCCCATCTCTACTAAAAATACAAAAATTAGCCGGACGTGGTGGCCGGCACCTGTAATCCCAGCTACTCAGGAGGCTGAGGCAGGAGAATCTGTTGAGCCTGGGAGGCAGAGGTTGCCGTGAGCTGAGATCACGCCACTGTACTCCAGCCTGGGCAACAATAGCAAGAACTCCGTCTCAAAAATAGAAAAAGAAAAAGAAAATTAGTCTATAAGTTTTATGACAAGAAATAAGACAAATTTATAAATATATAAATTATACTTTCTCATAGTGTTTCTAATAACATCTATTTTCATGGCTCTTGTTGAAGAATATTATCCAAGATTAACAAGTATGTTTTACATACAAGTTTTCTTCCCTTCCCCTCCCCGTCCCCACCCGTTGCAGTAGTGGGAGGAGCAAACCTGTAAGGTGAGTCTTTGCTATGACTCTGCCACATGGACAGGTTTTCAGAACAAGTGAAAGACTTACAAAATAGTAAAACCCGTGTCCCATTACCTCTTCCTAGCTCAGAAAGGAATGCTGTACTCCCCAAGCTTGCCAAACCTTAGAGTGCCCTTGGAGAGTTCAGGCTACTTCCTCATGACCTAGAGGAGGCAGGAGGCTCAGAAGGAAGGAAGTCTGATGCCTCGCTTACTAGACCTGCCTTGGGGGAACATCCTGAAGTCTCCCTAGAGAGTGTGAATTGACTTCTTACATTAATATCATGCATATTCACCTGTCCTATAGCTTTCTGAAGCCATTTCCTTTTTTTGGTCTACATTTCAACTTTTGCTATACCAGTACAATTCTTAAGAGGAAAAACGGCAAACCTATAAGGCATTGCATTGTTTCCCAATTCAGCTGGAGGGCAGCCTCCTAGACTCCAGGAAGCTCTGCTCCAAGTAGGTTGTGTGTGGGCAATGAATGTTATCTAAAACCTGAAGACTCTGAGCACTGCTGAAGGTGCAAAGATGCAGTAGAGATGGACTCTGTCCTCTAGAAGCTTAAAGTCTAGTTGAATAGATGACATAATCCATTCAGCAAACACTTATTAAGCACGTATGTGTTTGAGGCACTGTGGCAGCACAGCAATGATTAAGCTGCAGTCCTGACTTTCTAAGGAGACTGCAGTGAATCGTTAAGTAACAATTACAAAACAATTCAGGCAGTACAGTGAACTTCCCAGTGAATAGTATAAACAAGTGGTGCTGAGAAAATAGAGGAATCACTGTGAGCTAGGATGGCTTGGGAAGGCTTTAAGGAGGTGGTAAGCTTAAGCAAAAACCCCAAATCTCAGCTGTTTCTTACATTCACAGAATCTTCCAGGTTCTAGAATAAAGCACAAACCATTTCAAGGAAATGTAAATTTCTAAATTGGAGCAACTCTTGTGCTCTCTCTTCAGTCAGTTGCCATGTCTGCTTCTTCATCTAGCTCTTTTCCCTCTCCCACTCCGTGCCGTTGCATCGGTCTGACATACTCCAAGAACAAAAAGTATAAAAAATGACTCAGTAAAAACCCCCCTCGCTTCCTTCCTTATCTCTGTCTGACTGTTCCTTGCCTTCTCCCTGCCTAGCCAGTTTCTTATGTGTCGTTCCAGAGTTTGTCTACATACAAGAAAACATGAATATAGATTCTTGTTTTCCTCCGCCTTTAAGACAGTATGGTATACTTACAGTTTGGAATCTTGCTTTTCTCCACTTCACAATATATCTGGAAAATCTTTCCTAATAGGACATAAAGCACATTCTCATTCTTTTTGATAGCTACATAGTACTCCATGGTGTGGATGTAGCATAATTTATTTAACAGTTCCCTCCTGGCTGGTCATTTGGGTTGTTTCAATCTTTGCTATTACAAATAAAGCTTCAACAAATAACGCCACAGATATATATGCTCCTTGACTTATGATGGGGTTATGTCTCAAAAAGCCCATCATAAATAAAAAACATCCCAAGTCTAATATGCATTTAATACTTCAATAAACTCATTATAAATTTTAAAAAATTGTAAATTGAACCATCGTGAATCAGGGATCATTGCTGTATATAGTATTTACATATGTGAATGACCATATAATAGCAGATATTATTCCCTACCCCAACGCTTGTATTATCAACAGACTTAGCTTTGAAAACCTTGGATTTTGCTTCTCATTGGTTTTCACCAGAATTGTCTGGTTCAAAATATGTTTATTCAGCAAGAGGTCATTGGTAGCATTTGCCATAGCAAGGGCTGGGCAACTTCACACTCTTTTAGAACTCATTCTGCCTGGGGTGCTTCTGGCCCACTGTGAAATCTCAAATGCTGCCATGGTCTTGTTTTCATAGACGGGCTCATCTTCGCTTGTGCCTGGAGAAGCTGAAGGGGCTGGTGCCACTTGGACCCGAATCAAGTCGACACACTACGTTGAGTTTATTAACAAAAGCCAAATTGCACATAAAGGTAAGTGTATTGTTGGGATGCTGCTTTATCCTTACCTGTTCAGTGAGGGTTTGTCTGTTGTTATATCTCCAGGACAGTCCTCTCCCCAGAACTCCTCCAGTCTGGCTATTGGATGAATCACAGGTACCTCAAATGCAACCTATTAAAAACCTAGCTGAGTGTTTCTCACTCCCATGCACCAGAGGTTAAATGGTCCATCCAACTCTCCATCCAGTTGTACAAGCCCGAAACTCAGGAGTCCTTGATAGCTCCTGCTCCTTAACCGTATATATCTAGGCCATCTCCAAGGCCTAAATATTTTACAACCTGGTCTACTTCCATCTTCATCCCCACTGTCTACTGCAATAAAATCCTCAGAGGTCTCCTTGTATCCCTCTGGGTCCCTCCCGTCTGCTTTCCATACTTCCTGAGAACAGTCCTTTCAAGGTGCAAATCAACATGCGACCTTGTTTAAAATTCTTCTGTGGCTCAGGACAAGCTCTATCACCTGGCCTGCCCCAGGCTCTGCCTTGCCTGGTCCTCACCTGCCTCTGCAGCACCATCTTGTTCCCCAAGTCCCCTTTCTCCAGCTCTTCTTCCAGTCCCTGGCACTGTCATATTGTCTTACTTTAGGGCCTTTGTCCATGCTGTTCCCTTCTACTTATTCTTCAGATCACAGTGCAAGTCTCTCTAGCTCAGAGAATCCTTCGCTGACTTTCCCGACTCAGTGACCTCCTTCCTGTGACAGGTGGTCCAGGCACTGGGTATCTCTTAGCCCTGTCATAACTGACATTTGACAGTGGTTTGTGTGACCACTGGGTTGTCTCAGTCCTTAGACTATATGCTCCACGAGGCAGGGGACTGGGTCTTTGTGTTCACCTCGCAGCCCCAGCACCTCCCAGGGTGTTGGGCACAGAGTTGACACTCTCTATGCTGCCTGAATAGCAAAGGGTAAGGGGAGTTGGATTCAAAGTCTGCAGAGCCAAAATCCCTGTTTAGCATGTTCGTATAATCATATTATAGTTGGACAAATGTTACTTTAATTATGGTTAGTAGCCTACATTCATGACAATTCTGGGAGAAAACCTCTATTTAAAGCAAAACAGCTACAATTAAACAATCTTCTTAATTATCTGAAGAATATGAGAAGCTAGGGGGCAGATTTGTAAAAATGAGTATTATATGGAAATGTGTTTTCTAAACTCTTCTGTTGGACAAATTAGAATCAGGACATCAAAAGGGACTGTTATTTCCTGCTAACAAACAGAAGTTAATTGAGATTTGGCATGACACAAAAAAGTGCTTATGTAATTGGGACATGTACTTGAATAAACATAGTTTTAAATGGAAGCATGTTTCCTAAGCTCCCGTCACGTGCAGTTTTCTAGTTCAGAGATCAGGTGTTCAGGGGATCGCTGCAAACAAGGGAGATCAGGTTGGGGGCTGCTGCCTGCAGTCTTTTTGATACTAAAACTGAGGGCTACCAGGCTGCCACCATGTGAGAGCTCTCCCCTGAATCCCTGTGACAGGACAAGTACCCCCAGCACTGGCGATGCTGAAGAGTCAGACGAAGCCAGGAGTCACTGGCCAGTCGACTTCTGTCTCAGGGAGAAGCTTGACGAGTGGCACCAGAAGGCGTCTGAGGAAGTTTGGCGCATTCTACTGCTAGAAAGGAAGACGCGGGGGGCATTGACCATTTAGAAATCTCCCTGTGGGGCCCAACAACTACCCCTTTGACTTGCAGAAACTTGAAGATTGTGACAGAAAAGCCGTTCACCAAATAGACCAGCTTCAGCGAGAGCAGCGACACCTGAAGAGGCAGCTGGAGAAACTGGGCATTGAGAGGATCCGGATGGACAGCATTGGCTCCACCGTCTCCTCGGAGCGCTCCGACTCCGACAGGGGTGAGCCCCTCTCACTCTCCTCCTGTCTCCCTTGTCCTCTCCCACTTCCAGAGCAGGGGTTCAGTGCTGCAGACAGGAGGCAGAGTGTAGGAAGAACTAAGACATTGGGTATGATGTAGAGAAGTCGAATAGTGTGACCTGCAGTGACAGGTTCCTCCTCCCTGCTAACAGTTAGGTGACAACCCGCAGAAGGGTTTGATTGGGGTTGGTTTTCAGCCTGAGTTTGTTTTGTTTTGTTTTGAGGCAGAATCTTGCTCTGTCACCCAGGCTGGAATGCAGTGGTGTGATCTTGGCTCACTGCAACCTCTGCCTCCCGGGTTCAAGTGATTCCACTGCCTCAGCCTCCCAAGCAGCTGGGATTACAGGCACACACCACAATGCCTGGCTAATTTTTGTATTTTTGTAGAGATGAGGTTTCACCATGTTGGCCAGGCTGGTCTCAAACTCATGACCTCAAGTAATCCACCCACCTTGGCCTCCCAAAGTGCTGGGATTACAGGCGTGAGCCATCACGCCCGGCCAAATTTTTGTATTAGTAGAAACGGGGTTTCACTGTGTTGGCCCAGCTGGTCTCAAACTCCTAACCTCAAGTGATCCACCCGCCTCAACCTCCCAAAGTGCTGGGATTACAGGCATGAGCCACTGCACCTGAGTTTTCTGCAGAGCGCTTCCATCAGTGTTCTTCTCTCTTGTCCTCCCTGCAGAAGAAATCGACGTTGACGTGGAGAGCACGGACTATCTCACGGGTGATCTGGACTGGAGCAGCAGCAGCGTGAGCGACTCTGACGAGCGGGGCAGCATGCAGAGCCTCGGCAGTGACGAGGGCTATTCCAGCGCCAGCATCAAGAGAATAAAGCTGCAGGACAGTCACAAGGCATGTCTTGGTCTCTAAGAGAATGGGCACTGCGGCTGCCTCCTTGAAGGTTCTCCCTGTTGGTTCTGATTAGGTAACGTATTGGACCTGCCCACAACTCCCTTGCACGTAAACTTCAGTGTCCCACCTTGACCAAAATCAGCTTTGTAACTGTTTTCAAGGAAGTGCTTAGGATTGTGGGTTTCTGATTGCATCCACTAGCTTCTCTTTTACTCGCCATAAAAATTTGTCTCTGAGAGACTATACATTCCAATCAATTTGAAGCATCCAAGAATTCTTAGACCGAGTAAGCAATGTCCACATCTCAGCAGTCCCCCTCTTTGCTCTCCTCGTGTCCTCTCCCAGACCTTTCTTCCAGTTTTCTGGCTTACTATGTTACTTGCCTAGGAGGAATGTCCAAGTGTGTCTTGTACTTAGGAAACTGAAGGAAACAAACTTTTGAAATTGAGATCCTGATCTCAGAACTCCAAAGTAAGCTTTGAAAGCGGCATTTAAGAGCACTTAACCATGGACCTCACCACCAGTGAGGAAGTCAGGAATACCTCTAGAAAACACGCCCTTCACACTGCGCATGCTCATTCCCCCGACGCACCGCGTGTGGATGGGAGCAGTATTTCTCACTTTAAAATGGACACCTTGATAGTGTGTCTTTGGGGTTGCACAGCTCATCAAAGTTCCAAATTGTTTGTTCTCACAAACAAAACGGTACAATCTATTTTTGTGCGATGTTCTTGGGACCTCGTTGTGTTCTGCTATCTCGAGGCACATTCTCCCCTCCAACTTTGTTAATGCTACTTGTCTCTGGAACATTTTTTTTTCCTACCTCAGAGATAAATGAGATCTCCATTTCCCACTTAACACAAAGTGATTATCCTTTTTTTCCCCCCAAATAAGTGACATTTGGTCCAATTATAATCTATTTTCCTATTGAACTTTCAGCAATAACTGAGCTGTGGCACTAGCAGCGCTAGTAGCCATTATCAGTGAAAGAAAAAGTCCACGTTTCTACTCTGTTGCAGGTGAACAGGAGAGGATGGTACACCGTTACTAGAACTCCTCTCCTTATTGATTATTTTTGGACACACCCAGAAACTTCTTTATGGAGGCTTTTGGGTTGATAGTTTAAAAGGCCGATTTTTCTTTTTGGTTATGATTTCTCCCTTAAGTGGTCTCCAACTTTGTAGCATTTTTATTTAAGCTAAAACAGAGCACATGTATATGTACATAAGACACATTAAATCTATAAATACTATTTATTCATTTTATATAAACTAATGTAATGGAAAAAAATTCTTATGACTTTGTGCTTTTATAGATGTTCTAGAAACTTTGTATGTAGGTATCTACAAAATTAGTTCATTCCCCTGAATATTTTTGCATTCATATTTTTGAGGTCTTGATGTTTTCAGCCTCTGGCGAATCTTTTTCATTGAATTTGAACCATTTGTAAAATCTGTGATGCTGAAGCAGAGTGTGTCACAAAGTGATGAGAACATTCCTAAAATCCATGGACGCACTGCGACCTAAGGGCTCAATGGCTGACTCGGCAGCGGGCAGCCACCCCCCCCCCGCGCGCCTGCTGGCCTGTGGTCACTCGCACACCACAGCCTGAAGCTCCCCCAGCGTCTGCACCTCGCACACAGCTAAGGTCAAAGTTCAAACGCACTCCCCACGGAAGCTCATTCTATGCCCGAAGAGCAATCTCAAAAAGCAAGATTACTTTTATGTGTTTTAAAAAATGATTCTTTAATGTATTTTTCTAAATGTTCTAATTGGAAGTAGTGGATTCTTAAATGATTCCAAAGTCATCTGTAATTCTTCTGTCTTTGTTTTTTCTTCATTTCAGCTTTGGCTGGGGGGAGGGGCAGGTGACACAAAGGATTTTTTTTTTTTTTTTAATTTTTGGAATCTTTTCCAACAACCAGCTAAAGATTTGCACTGAAATACAACTTGTATGCCTTTTGCATTTTTAAAGCCTGCTTCCTGGATTTTAAGCAGAGTGATGGTGTTCACAGAGCCAGCTCAGCCTGTAACATGTTTGAAAAAGATATGTCTGCACTTTGAGGTCCCTTTTGAATGCCATTCACTAGACCTCTCAAGCATTTTGTTTCATTGCTACATCCAAGCGCCTCACAAGTCCACGATGCGGGACAGCATCGAAAGCTCAAGACTTTGGAAAAAGCTTGTGGGCTTGCACTGGGGGAGGGAAGGGAACAAAATTTGTGTACTTCTTTGTTTAATTTAGAAATAAGGCATCCAAGAGATGCCATTATTTTCTGTGTTTCAATTGTTGTGCCTTTGAGTTAAACTGCATTTTTGTCTTTTGGTTGAAATCTGAAATGTACTGTCCCAATATAAAACAGTAATTATTTGACCTTTGCACTGTTTGTCTGGTCCTTTTCAATTTGATTGCATATAAATGTGGAACTTGATAGATCTCTATATTTTTAATGCACTTGTGATAAACTGACAGCAGGGTTAGACATTACTTTCAAAGCTCGAGGTAGACCGAGTCAGCATGCTAGACAGGCTTCTCTCTCTAACCAAAACTGTAATCTTCAGGACCAGCAAACTCAGCCCAAGGCAGCTAATCCCCTGACCCCATCCTCCGCCCCCGCTGCTGACCAGCAGCCCTGGTTTGCCAGTCTATCCTCTCTCATTCACTGATCCACCAGCCTGACTGCTAAGAGCTATAGTCTTTTTAGTTGTTTTGTCTTTTTAAGCAAGATGAAAACCTTTCTAGTAGGGATTTGGGGTTGGGAGGGGATGGGCAAAGATATAAACCCCAGCCTTTAAGACTTTGACAATTGTACGTAAATATAGACGTGTATAAATATAGGCACATGCATATTTTTATGTGAAAGTTGATTTTAAAAAACTAAAAAATCTAAACTGCACTCTTATTGATACCATCATAGTGCAAGTGGGAAAAATAAGAGTACGCAGTCTAATTTAATTTCATTCAGTGAGAAAATATATATGTGTGCTTCTGTAACATCCTGAAAACATAGCTTTCCATCCCCTGTTGGCTTTGAATGGTGGGCCGAGCACCCAGGGTGTCTTTATTTTGGTTCTCTTTTGCTAAGCAGAGATCTTGAATTCTTCAAGGTGCTGATAGCAACTGCTGGCTCCTTTCTGTAGTCACACACCTAATGCTAGTTTAGTGATTCAAAATGCATCACATTTTTAGGCAGGACCTAGATTTTCCCAGTCAACCCAAGATGAAAATAATTTCAGTGTTGATTCAGAACTGAACATGAAGTAGCCCCTCATCCTGCAGTTGGCCACTTGAGTGTTTTTTTGTTTTGTTTATTTTTTAAGGTGGGCATTTTCCTTTAACCTCTACTTTTTCAAAAGCAACAAAGGGGCCTTGACCTAGGTTTCCTGTGGGCCTCTCTTCTGCATCCCCAAAGTGGCCAAGAGCAAATCCTGGGGGCTAAGAAAAAAGAAAAAAGTGTAAACTAGGTAGGATTGTGATGCTCAAAATAACCGTCTAGCAATATCTTAGAGCTTGAGAATGGATTTTGTGGGCTTATTTCTTCTTGCCTCTTCCCCATCCTTTCAAGAGAGAACTTATTTTTGAAAAGTGTCTATATACACACACACACACACACACACACACACACACATTATTATTTAGGTTTTTATACCACACTGTATTGGCAAGAATACCACTATCATTGTCCTTTACAGTCTACTTCTTCCCCCAAGTCTTGGTCTTTTTTTATTTTTTATTTTTTCATGAACCACACAAGAGACTTTAAAATCCTGGTCTTTTCTGTTTCTTCTTTGTTTCCCCAAGTTTGTCTGCACCTCTTTGCCTTCCCTGAGTGTTGAACATCAGGTAGTAAAAGGCTAAACGCGATTTCCTGCACGTCAATCTATTCTTTTTCTATGTTTGACTCCAGTGCAGCGTGTTTAGCGTGTCTAGTAGCTGGCTACTCCTATTTAAAAACTCTTCCTGGTTGAAGACAACCCAAAGGCCCTTTTCGATGAGGTGGTTTTCTCATTCTACATCCTCTGATATCTATAGACTGTAGGATGCTTTGCTTTCAAAGATAACTGGGTTAGAGGGTGGGGTGTGCAATAGGTGATTTATCATGATTTTTTTCATTATCAATATTACATGGATGATTTTTCTTAGATTCTTCTGAAAGAAGAAATTGACAGGCACTGCTAGATTCAGCTATTGAATGGCTGAAGAGATTGAGTATCTGACCTTTTCTCAAAATCATAAAGTGAGAAATCATAAGGCACCCGATTTTAAGATTTATCCAGATTTTTACATTTTGATTTCTTCTCTCTGGGGGGGTGGCAAGTTGAGGGAGCATTCTTCATTTTAGCTTTTACCTGACAACCAAACTTGCCTTTACCCCCGTCCCTAGAACTGGTGCTCTTGGAATATTGCTGTTAACCATCATTTTGGGGGGGCCATCTTCCTAATGCTACATACAGCCTGACAGGGGAGCAGCAGATGAAAGGGTATGCTATTCTGTTTCCAGATGTTTCTTTATGTAAATATGACGCCAATGTAAATCCTGTGTCAAGACCATAGAGAATGGTGCTTTTTACTACAGTTAGCACATGCATTTTTAGAAACTACATGTTTTAGAGAATCTTTGCTGTGTATATGTAAACTGTATTGTTCAACCGTTAACAAATAATAAATTATTTCATTATTAAAGAAATTGTGGTCTTTCTGATGTTTTGTATCCCAGTTTACCCTTTCATGGTTGTCCTTGCAGAACTGCGTTCATCAGATTTCTTTTTTTCTTTTAATTTAAGGGAAACATCACTAGCTAAGTTTTCAGCCCTTGGAGCCTGTGATGAGGATTGAGATTGTGTAGCTCCAGTTGAGCCCATTTGTTGATCAGAATTAGCCACAGTCCCACCCTCTCCACTGCCCCATCATCCCACCTACTGGTTTCACCTGCTGGTTCACTCGCTCTTGGCTGACTTGCCCTTTGTTTTGGGTGTCTCTGACGATGCAGGTAGCGCACTGGGGCTGTAAGCACTGCCAAGACTTCCGCGTCTTTCGAGCAGCCTGTAGCCTGGGAAAGATATGCACACAATTTAATGCGGTGTAATTAGTTGTGGAATAAAGTTGTACGGTAAAGTTCCATGAGAAGTCAGAGTTGGTGCATTCGAGCTAGGCCCTGGAGGAAGAGTGAGTGTTTGCTGGGAAAGGAGCATTACTGGGAAGGAGAACATCCAGGGCAGTTGAGGCAGGTGCTTAGGCAGGGCAGAGCTTCGTGGGGCTGTGGTGTGGCCTGGAGGCTGGGGCACGTGGAAGGAAAGACCTCGTGGATTGCACAACTCACTGAGAGGAGAGAGGCATTGGCTGAGGATGTCCATTCTGTTACATACTAACCCATTTGGTTAGTATACATTTATTCATTCACTGAACAAATACGGCTTGAGCACCCGCTCCGTATCAGGCTGTGTCCTAAAGGTGAGGACACCTCTAAGAACAGCACACAAACGCCCTGCCTCATGCTGCCACCTTTCCAGCGTGAGTCTCACTGGTGCTCAAGTCCTCGTCTTGGCAAGTTC